TGCCAAGCGTGTCTGGGAACAGGCTGCACATAGACCTGTGAGAGAAATGTGGAGATGAAGAGCAAAGGGAAGTCAAGTGCACTGTAATTATAAGTGTTCTGTAGGGTGATTAGAGTTTTTAGAGAGAAAAAAAGCCTTTATGCTGTGGGGTAAAGATGGGTTAAGGGCCAAAGGAAGCTCTGTTTACACTATGTTGGAGATGGAAGAGTGGCAGTAGAGCAAGCTTGTTTGTATATCTTTTAGAGAGAACCAATGCTTCGCCTTTTGGGAAAATTTCACCTGAAGTGTTTTGCGGAAGGTCATATAGGGTGTCTTAAGCCAGTCTGGATCGCCTAGTGTTACAGCCCATGATTTTCCTTCCTCTCAAAGAGCTGACGAAACCCAGTGATCTCAGCGCAGGCATCATTTTCTCCATATTCCTGAAGCTCAAACTATGCTTTGGTAGTATTTGTTCTATAAATGTTTCTTGCTACACTTCATCCACAGCTACATTTCAGCGACAGTGTAAGTTGTTTCTATATATAACTGATGAAGCACTTTGAAACCTTCTGACAATGTTGGCTGTTACCATGAATCCACAAATGCCTTTTTCATCTCTTCCTCCATTTGTATTTCCCAACATGTCGTTTGAAACAACATACTTTATATTAGTCTTTTTTAGAAGTATGCTTATCTTTTTTTTCAGCTAATACCACCACACATGAGTAGGATAGGGACTTCTAGGAGTCCAAAGTTGGGTCTCTTCATGCTAGATATGGCAAGTCTTAGATGCTTAGTGCCTATTGTGGTGCCCTTGTTAAGCTCAGAACCAAACAGAGCTTTGGTTCTTGAATGTCTGCTTCTCTCCTCTATTTGCTGTGTGTTCATTTCATGAATATGAAGCTGGTTTAACATTTGTTCACTGTCTTTAAATATAGGTTTAATTTCTTGATTTTCTTCTGAAATTACAAAATAGTAAATTGTTTTTTACGTTGAAGAAGGCAATTTACTTTTATTACATGAAGAATGTCCTTCCAAACTCTTATAAAAATACATTTTATAATACACATCCCTTTTCTGCTAAGCTTTGAGCAATTCATGAATTATTTTTAACAGAATTCAATGTTTTGACCCAATCTGAATGATTCAAATTGTCATTAAATAATTTGAATTTTTATAGATTCGACTTTGAAGTAGTGGATATTTGCTACAAGCAGAAGAGCATTATTAGCAGCAATTATGAAGTGCTTTGAAAATAGAAGAGCTTTTTGATTCCTGTTTTAAGATTTTGTTAACTGTTTACACTAGAGAACAGTTACTTTGAATTTCTTTTATATTTCATCGACATTTCTCTCGAGGGAAAAAAAAAACCAAATCATCACCACCAACAAAACACAAAAAAGAACACTAATATATATATATATGTATATATATATATATATATATATTCCCCTGGAGAAACAGGCTGTACCTACTGCAAGATGATTCCTTAAAGACTCACTTGCCACTTTATGGAGCCCTCACAAGCTTCCTCATTTTCCTGTGACCTTCCTGAAACAGCTCAGGAAGATGTAAACTACTTTATTCTTTAACAGAAATTTTATTCTTTAGCAGAAGTGTTAAAGCAGAAAGCTAATCATGATCATTTTCAAAACAGTTTATGGTTTCACAAATGATTGTTAGTTAAATCTGGCTGATTCCGTATTCTAATCTGACTAAATTCAGATAGAAGAATAATCTGATGGAATATTGTGCAGTGTTAAACATTTTTGAAGCTTTATTGAAAAGCCTTTATCCTTATTCTAAGATTTTGTGATGGAAGGATAAGGTTGAAGGGATTGAGAGTCTGATGAATGGTGCAAATATGGAGGAGGGAGTTCTCAAGAGAATGATAGGACTGCTTTTGGAGAACAAGTGAGTGTTAAAAGTAAATTGAAGCAATTTTCGTTTCATTAAAAAATGACAGATGCTGGCACAGGAGTGAAAATTCTGCTTCTTTTGGTTAGAAAAAGTCTTTGACTTTCAAGAGGCTTAATGGAAAACATGTCAAGAGTCTTCTGCTTAGGCAGTATTAGTTTCATGTGTTGGAAGTAAAATGAAGAAACACTGAATGAGTTCACCTGCAGATCTGCTGATCCCTTTAGGAAAATGCTGGTATACTTGCTGCTCCTTATGCATGGAAAATGGAAATCATATCTTGTCAGCACAGTGTTCTCCTGAGGTGAAGTCACCCTTCTGGGTAAGCCTTCACTAACATTTGTGTTAGCATGAACTATGTGCAAATGCATACCTCTTGCCAAGTAAAAGATAAAAATAGTAGACAATTGAGCACTGCTGTATCCGTTTCTGACCTTCCTGAGCCATGTTATTTCGTCTAATTTGTCTGGAGTCTGTCATTTCGACCTCAGGTATACCTCTCAGTGCCCCTGCCAGATTGAAATTTCTTTTCTATATGGGTCACAGTGTATCTGGGACTACTGTCCTTTCTTTCTTGCTCAACTGACTTATTTCTCATGTTTGGTCTGATTTTCTTTCTGTCTACTACAGAGCTCCATTCATATGCTTCTTGTTGCCATCTGCACAGTTAGTTTATAAAATTCAAGTAGTAAGCAAAATACCAGGTACTCCTCCTAAAGCTCCATCTATAAATATCACCCTTGCCTACTCATACTGCTTGATGAAGGAAAAGTAAGCCATAAGAGAACCTAAACCAGGTTGCATTACATCAAAATAGGCAGTTCTGTTAAAATCAGAGCATTGCATTTAGCTTCCCATTTCATATTTTAAAAAGCACTCTGACAAAACTGAAGCTCCCTACTTTGGCATTGTCAGAATGAAAATTTTAGGTTTTTTAATTTTGATTTTTTTTAATCCAAAATGAACTATCATGATCTAACAAAGTTTTTTTTTTAATATTTTTCCCTTATAGAAAAAAAATGTGGGTTTATTTGGTTTGGATTTGCTCTGATTGCTCACTCTTCCCATTCTCCTCACAGCTCTAGCTGTTAGTTCCTTGGAACAATGACGACAACGGTTTTGTTTGTTTGTTTGTTTTCGTATTACTAAAGTTTATCTATGCATGTAGTAAACATGAAGAAATTTGCAGTAGTGGCTAGCTGTGTTTTGAATAAATTATCAGTTATCAAAAAACAAAAACAAAACTTACTATCCTTTCTTCAGAACTCCAGATAACCTGGGGCGATTTCCCTTTGATTTCAAGAATCTAGATGTGGAGCTGATTCCGGTGCTAATCCCTAATGCGATGAGATGCTCTTGGGCATCATAATGCGTCAATTCTTGTTCTGTGATACAGACTGCCTGACCTATGTTAGGTCCTGCCTATGGTGAAGGCCAGCAGATGGTGTGTCTTGGGACCAGCACGTGTACACCCTCAGCAGCAGTTAGGCTCACCAACACTGCCCGTGGGCAGTGGCATGATGACATCTGCCTTCATCCACGTTGGTCACCAGAGAAGATAGTGCTGAGGAAAAGCACTAAGCTGCTTGCATTGGCTCATCTGTAAAAATGCAGCAGTTGGGCTGGCATATGCATGAGCATACACTTCATATGTGCAAATATGAAATATGTCACTTTGTAATCACTATTTGACAGGGGCTGAGATGTCTCTGAGGTAAAACTCCTTTGCACTGGAACAATAATTTCAGGCACAGCATTCATCAAAATTTTCTGCTTTAAAGATTGGAAGGCTGTAACAACTTTGAAAATATATGTACTGAATAGGTGGAAGGTAGGTGGCTCTGACATAGCTTCTTAGGTTTGGATTTTTAGACTGCATCTTCTAGTTTGTGCATCAGTTTTAAGAAGTTAAGCTTGCTTTGATGGTGAAACATTCTTCTGAATGGAAATTTGCAACCTCAGTGTTGCATTAATTAAGGTTTTTGAACTGATGTGCATGCGTTGTCTGTGCATGTATATGTTTTTTCTATAGTTTGTAAATATATGTACTATATGGGATTGAAGGCAACTTGGCAGAAAGCAGAACTTCATTAGCAATATGAAGTGCAGGCAAATGCTGTCTAGCTGTTGCTTATTCTAGTTATTCAGTCACACTGGCTTAGAGACTGTTAATTGCCCACGCTGAACAGTTCTGCCCTCTCTGTTGGGCTTTGTCTTTTGTGATTTCCAAAAGCTCAGCATGTGTGAGCATTTTCTCTTTGTAGGTAAGCTTCACATTGAATCCAGTAAGGACGCTGCTGGAGAGGATGACCTTGAATGGTGACACCGTGCAGGCATTAATGACAGATGAGATGATGAACATAGTAAACTTGCCAATTCCCAGAAGAAATACTGTCGCCAGGACAACTGGAATGATATGACCCATGAGATAAGGGATATGCTTGCAGCCTGCTCACTTACATGCTCTTTGCAGGTTTCACCCATCGGAAAACACAGATGGGTAATTCTTGCCACACATTAAAAAATTACTGCTTCCACACACCTTTGCACGCACTTCTTGATACCTACTTTTGGAAGCACTGAGCATGTTTCCTGGAAGAAGAAGATGTTGCTTTGCCAAGTTGTGACTCCTTGCTCCCTGGTTTAATCCCAGGTCTGATGTCCTGTGCAAAATATCTCATATTTAGTGTGCTATCTTCTGCACTGCCTCTTGTGACCCTTTTTCAGTACAGAAGAGTGGGAAGCAACTCAAAAGAGCACAGACTCTAAGCAAATGCTGAGCAGCGTAGTACGTTTGCTGGTCACAGACAGCTCAAGCAATATCTAGGTAGAAGAAGAGAGAGATCCTGAAAGGTGGGAAGGCAGAGAGGCTGTTGAGAGCAGTAATTTGGGTACGGAGCCCCTGGGAAGGGACAGCCCTCAGCCAGCCTGGCCCAGCTGTGGACACAGTCGGGCTGTGCGCACGGGAGCAGCGCCGTGACGGGAGCTGCCCAGCGCCACGTGACGGCACCGCAGGGATAATAAGCGGCAGCAAAGAGCTGCGCTGGGCTTCTCCAGAGACTCGGCCGCACGGACCTGCAGCAGCAGCAGCAAGAGGGGAAGAGCAAGATTCACATTCTGTCACCTTGGAAAAAGAAAAAAAAAAAAGACACACTGCTACCAACCCATCAGCTACTAAACTAAGGCAACAGCAGCAACAGTTTAAAAGTAGTCAAAGTCTCAGAAGTTGAAGCTGATCCTGGGTAGCATGAATCAGATAGAAACAAACATGCAGTACACCTACAACTACGAAGAAGATGAGTACATGATCCAAGAAGAGGAATGGGACAGAGACCTGCTCCTGGACCCAGCATGGGAGAAACAGCAAAGGAAGGTCGGGAAATGAAGTAGTATGTGTCTGTGTATGTGCTTCTCTGTGGAATAATGTCCTGTTCTAGTGCCATGCTGCATCTAGAATTGCCAGGGATGTGCAGGAATGAGTTCAGAATCTCTAATTTTATAAAATAATATATTATCCTTTATACAAAATATGTGTATGATATATACATAGTTATGTCCTTACATCTTGTGAAGAAAGCACTCACTTTTTGGATCCTAAAGTGACCACCTATGTAAGATGAGACTGTAATTAATGACAGTTAGAAGAGTTTTTCTTATGTCTTAGTGGAAATATTCACTCCATCCTTTTACATTTGTGTATTAGGTGTTAACAAAAACTCCAGTATTTTTTAACTTCACTTCCTGGGTCTTATTGTCCAAAGGCAGTCTCTGAACTGATGCATGTGCCTGATTGCTTTTAGAAGACAGTCAGTTGCAGGTGTAACCCGGAAGATGCATGAGATGGTCCAATGGATGTCGAAAAAATCTGCATGCAATATTTCTGAGAGCGTACAGATATCGTTGTTGAAATGGTGATCATGTGAGTCAACTCCTACCAGAATTTGCTGTCATATCTCATCAAATGATCTGACAAAGAAAATAATGCCTGGAAATAAGGCAGTTTGAAAAGCTGTATTTAGTGAGTTTGGCTCCCACACGCCAATTCACTGTCTGGAAAAAAAAACCTCTGTAAACTCCTTGAAATACTCCAGAGGAAGTACTTCCTGCCTTTTAGGTATAAGAAGACTATTTTGCTAGCAGGTACTACCTGTTCCTGAACCTAGTCAGAGATTATAATCCTGTCAGCAATCTTGTCAGCGAGTGGGTACTTCTGTAGTAATTGCCAATATGTCACATTTAATTTTGCGAAAAAATAAAAATAATTTCGTTGCAGAACACTGAGTTTTAAGCATCATATGGAAGAGAGAGAGAGAGAGAGGAAATATTGTAAAGTACTTGCTACTTTCTAACATATATGATGTTGGAGTCAGAGCTGACAGATCAGGGATTAAAAGGTTATCAGCTGGTTACAGGACTGGAAAAAAAAAAAGAGAGAAATAGACCTAGAACATAAGATCAAATATGATTTCTGCTGTAGCTGATCAACTCACTTAAAAATCGTAAGTGGAAGTTGCCAAATTGTATCTGAAGATAGTCTGTTACCCTGTTAGCATCACAGCTTCACTATGACTGAAAGTAAGAGCCAAGACCAATGAGTTTGCTTTTCCAAGTCAGTGGAGCCTCTCAGTTTTCACTTGTAGCCTTTTCCTCTTGTGAGTTTGCTTATTTAATTTTCCAGCACTTGCTGGAAAATTCAAACCTTGTTTTTCAAGATCTGAGAAGTGCTGGCTTTTGCTGAAGTTCATCCTTCTTGGTCTGTCCATTGCTGCGTCTTCTAAGCAAGTAATAAAATGATGCTCATCAATGCTAATTTATTTTAGCTTGACACTCTACAAATGACGAAACGACGAACTTTTATTTTAATGTTTTATGAGGATATAAATGATTTGATTACTAGTAATATGACAACTCAAGCGACTCAGCTGTAATAGATTGTGTTTGTAAGTCCAAGAGGTCCAAGGAAGACCAAACCCCATAACTACGTAACCAGCTGCATTTTTAGCCTAACAGTGCAGTCCTGTGCACAGAATTTTTATACCTTCTATAAACATCATCTAGATTTATTTTAGTTCTTCAGGACAGAATACCTAGTCTCAATCAGTTTCTGTGTCTGAAGTGAGTAGGATGGATTATTCAGGATTTTAGAAGATGCACTTGTTTTGGAATAAGGAAATAAGAGACAGATAGTCAACACTCTAAAGTAATTTCTTAGAACCCAGATAAATAATTCAGAGAATTTGGATTCTATAGTCCTGCCTAGGTTTGCAGTAGGTCTGTTGATTTTCACAGGAGGACAGGGAGTAGTTAGTATAAGATCCCATGGCAAATTCTGTACTTGCATTTATCCCAACAGAAGATGATTCAGTGGAAAGTCAACAGTTTCCACATTGGTAAATTAAAGCTTACATTCATAGAACAGAGAAATTTTTATTGTGTTACTGTGTGTCCTTAGCATTTGTCTTTGATATTAAAGTGATACCACATTTAAATAAGATCTAGGAAGAGGCATCCTCATTTCTTGAAGGGAGTCTGATTTTGTAATTACATGAAAAATAAATACTCACAATAGAGACTGACAGATTTTGTAGAATTTGAAGGGTTTTTTTTTCCCTAGCAGTTGCTGAAAGTCATTCTCTATTCCCTAAAATATGAAGAAAAAATTGTAGATACCTGGACACAGATCTTTGTTCAAGCTGGTAATGTAATATGGAGAGGTGATCTCAATGGAGCACTGGCAGTTGGCAGCATATATTTTCTATGAGACAGTCTTGGAACAACCCAAAAATAAATGCCATTGTTTCTATTGTGGGCTGCCCTCTCCAGACTTGCCATTTCAGTGATATGCCTGGTATGCGATCTGTCAACAGATGCTGGTAACACATGATGACGTCCATAGGATTACAATGGATGCGATGCCTAATTATAACCACGGTTCGTAGAGTATTATGGTCTGCAGTAATCCAGACTCCTTGGTGTAGGATTCATGGTCGGAGATGTCTGAATAAATGTGAAGCGCAAGATATGAAAGGAGGCTGAGAGTAGCATAGCTGTTCCTCAGTGCATGTGAACACCAATTTAAATGCTTTGGTTAGGGGAGAATTTAGACTATGTGAAATCAAGAAAATAACAGCCGTTTGGTGTGTTAAACACACTGATGGTAGAAGACTTGCACGGGATGCTTGGAATTTCCAACAATGTGTTGGAAACCAACATATGGTTGGAAAGTTCAGGAACCAATTTTAAAGAAAGTCTAAATAAAGAAATGACTGATTTGTTATACTCATTATATTTTTCATGGACATGTCTTCAGTAGGACCTATTTACAAAACTACGCCTTTGGTGTCCTTTGAACATGGAAATGGGAGCCAGGAGCTTGGAAACTGCTGGTCTGCTGCTTGACCCAATACACTGCCACTGTCAATGTGCACTTCGTTTCTTTGTTAATTCAAACGACACTTGGAAGATGCATGAAAGTGGCCCTTTTTGTCTCCTCAGAACTCAGATGAAATCGAAAAGCAGAGGCTGAGCTGCTTGAGCGGGTGGCACAGGCCTGCTTGAGCAGGTTCACAGGCTGAGGTTCCCTCTTGACTCTGCTCTGTGACTTAGGCAAGGTCTATTCACCTCCTTATACCTCATTTTTTACCACTGGAGAAAATAGAGCAATGGTGATGATTTGCCAAGCACTTTGATATCCTTGTAGAAATGGTTGTTTTTATGGTATAGTGATTAAGCTATCTTTCGATCACTACCGTACTGGACTAGGGTGGAAGCAAAGATCATACTAGCTCGTAATGTTAAATCTGAAGTTTGGTGTCTTTGTGTTAAAATTACTTCTTAAGTTTCCCAAAAAAAGTGCAACAAAATCCACAAAACTCTCTTAGCTTTCACTAGCCTGTATCTCTATATAGCTAAAAGGGAAATGGAATAATACACTATCCCTTAGCTTAGGAAACCAAGCACAACAGTGCTACTCAAAATTAAAAATACTCTATTGTCTGCTATATGTCTGAGTTGCCAGCACTAATTATTGAGTTGTGTGCTAAATATTGCCTTTTCTTCCTCTCTGATGCTAGAAAAAAAAGTTTGGAAATTATTTTTCTCAAACTTGAAAATAATCTTTAAAGAATAAGAACGAGGACTCTATAGGGCATATTTTTTTCCCAGTTAATGAGTGTACAGATCTGTGTCTGTTTTACTACGTTGCTGTGCTCAGTAGTTAATAAATCCGTAGGTAGAAGTGTGTGTCATCAAAAGTAGAAGCTAGGACAGAAAACAAATGGCTATTCTGGCAGTGATGGGTCTTCAGGGAATATCTGAAACATTCAAGGTAGAGAAAAGGTATAGGAAGGGGATAGAGAAAGATGATAAAGAAACAACCAAAAGTTCATAAAGAGAACACCCTTTCTTGGTCTAGTGTTTCCATGCAGACAGTTGCAAAGTCCACACCTGAATGGAAACACAGCTATCCCCTAAGTAACAGGCAGTATTCATTGTCTGCTGCGCTCCATTTATTTTTAGGTAACTTTTGTCAGAAGTAATAACTTTTAAGACATGCTTTTTTAAAAAACTTTGTCATAAAATGTTGTTTTTTAATTATTAAAGGAAGTTTGAGCCTTCAGGGTAGGAAAAAAGGAATCTTCTTCAGGGTACTTGTTAGAGATTAAACAAGCTCCACATATTTCATACTTGTCTTCTGCAGTCTGTGGGACACATCTCGGTTGCACTAATGTGTGTAAGGAAGGATGTGGAAACATGCTGCTGGCCTTACTGATATTATTGTAGATGAAGGGTCTTATTTCAGCTCCCTGTATGGCCCTGGTGCTGCTTTCCACTACCATGTTAGCCCAGAAGGTTCTTAATGTAGTTGCCAATGCGTTTTCTGGCCATTTTGATGGGTTCTGGCACTGATACAGAATAAACAACAATGCTTTTGTATTTATTTGCCTCGATATTGTACTCCTTGCAAATGCAACTCTTCCTAATGACACTGCGTCTGTGCTTAAGTGAGTACTACCAACAGGTTTATTTAGGGAAGAAGCTATCTTTCCAGTCCTCAGCAGTCACTGTCAGATTAAATTTTCAGTGTGACCTGTAAGGATTTGTCTGTGTTACCTCCTTTGGCTGTTAATACAGCTCCCGCTGATCTTGCAAATAAAATAAAATGCATTTTGAAGCTACAAGTACAGAGGCTTTTTGGAAGGAGCGTGAGTTATGGACAAAATTGTCCTTTCACTTGCTTTGGTGCTGCTTCATAAGTTCATTGGATTCAAGGGGTTTATTGCAACCTAAAAGACAAATTGACCTTTTGTTCAATCTGACTGCAGTGTCTATAAATAGACTCATATTACAGTCAATTGCCTGGATTCTCTCTAG